ATTAAAAGGCTTAAAATAAAGAACTTGTTTTTTTCATTATTTTTAAAATTATTTGTATTACGTAAACTCGAAACTTCGTCCAAAAGTATTAACCGTCCTTAGCCGAGACATTATCGAAAATAACATCGTATATGTAATGAATTTTATCGTGTCGTATGAATTTTAATTTTCTATTGTATAGATCATTAGTTATACATTATTTGTATGATATATGTATATGTGTAAAGTAGTTATAATTATCGATGTGAGTGAATTTATGAAATTTATACGACATTCATATCGGAATAGATAATATTATCTTGAATTTTATTCTTTCTATGTTATAATTGATAGTAATTAATATGTATTATACTCATTAGTTTGTGAATTATTTAATATCAGTAACAATAATATTTTTCAAAAACATAAATAATTTAAAAGAAACATTCGAAAATTATTTTGTATCTTTTTTTGTATGTTTTTCTTATTTTTTTTTTTCCATTTTGTTTGCAATTTTATTCCAGTTGGGTAACGTTAAATAATTCATAAGAAAAATTCAAATATTCAAAGAAAGAAATTAATGATGTATTGTTAATGTTGTAAATGGTTTCTGTTTAGTTTTCTTATGTTTCATTTTTATAATTTGTCTAAAAAAAAAAATTCTAGATAATTAAGAATTTTCATTGAAAGAGAATAAAGAGACACCTAGTCTTATTATTAAAAATTGAAGAATATAATTGTATTAATTTTCTTTGCGTGCTTCGTCGGTGTAAAATGTCTCGTAAGAAGTATGACGTTTCTGCTCAATGCTTGTAATGAATTTTAATAGTATTGTTTTCAAAATATGCGAAATTAAACAAAGAAAAATGCAATCAATTGCATCGAAATGATATCTCCTTTATAAACACGAATATTTTCTCTTACGAGTTCAAACTCACATGTTTTATATAATTATTTGTATACGAATAACAATTTTTATACTGACAACAAAAGAATATGTAACGCAACGTTATAAAAAAGAAGAAAAAAAAAAAACCTCGCTAGTTAAAATTATTGTAGATAATACGTCGGCGACTGTTGCGATATTATACTATGTATACGGGTGAAAATGGATACATGTTTATATAAATCAGTGTTTGTAAATCCGGTTGCATATTTCGTTTCACATATGAATTTGATGTTGGAGCATATGTAAATGATTAACAAAAGTAAGATGGATGTTGTAATAAAAAATATTATAATTTGGCAAAAATGTACATAGGATTACGCTCGGGTTCATTGATATATGAAAATAATCATAAACAACATATCACTGCATAAAACTACAGTATTAAATTTTTGCGATGAGCAAAGCACGACGACACTACCAAAGACATGTCCGGACAGCACGACAGCGTGTTAACACCTCATATGAATAAAAATTTTTTCTGTTTGTAATAATATATATTTGTGTCCTTTTATATCTGTATTCACACAGGTTTAAGAATAAGAAATATATATAAAAACATTGTTGGCAAAATTTATGTGTTAAACACATACTTGTTCACTAACGATTTTGCCTTAAATAAATAAAATATTATCGTATTTGCAGAATAATCTGTGCATGCATGTCTTACAATAAAATAGAGAATTTATTATATGAGCCATCTTACATAAATTAAATAACAATTATATGTATTAAATACAACTGGATTGTCTTTTTTATGTGCATATGAGAATTATATCGTATATCAATATCAATGTTAACCCATCGCATGTAGAGGACCAAACAAATGAACTGCTGGACAATTTTCGTCCGGATTACCAAGAAATTGGGCGTAAAGTTCTTGATAACGCGATAAAGTTAATCCTCCACGTCTCCGATCGTCGTCCTACGATAATAAATGAATGAATTTAAACAAAATACGAAAAGGAACAAATTTTTTAAATTATAACATAATATAATATTTACATTCCTATATTTATATAAAACATTGTACAATTTTCTCGTTCTAAACATTGTATTGTATTAGAAGTATAATGAATGAAATTGCAATTTTGATTCACAAACGTTTTGTTTCTAATATTTTAATTAAAAGTTGATCGTAACATCATCATACTTACATACCATATTCTATTATTCTTTACTCTTAAATTTAAAATTAATTTATTATGCATACTCTATTTGTAATTCTGTTAGAAAGGTCTTCTCGACTTTTCAATATCGTTAAGAATACATTTTTTATGAATTCTCTAGAAGCGTGTTTAAATCTAAAATTTGTTAGATGAAAAATTAAAAATAATAATGTATATGTATATATCCGGTAAAAATTAAGAATAAAAATAATAATAATAAAATCAAGAATAAGAGGTTCGAATCAAATCGAGGCGATTTTTAAAATCGTTTATCCGTGTATGATCTTACATACATTAAGAAGATTTTGATAAGCCTCGTCCAAAATATTAACGTTATCCACAGGAATTCTTGTCACACAATTGTAACGAAATTCATCGGCAGCAATTACACCGTCGTCTAGAAATAAAATTATTTTACTAACAGTACGAAGAAAACGATGGGTAAACCGTTTTGTATGTACCATTCAAATCTACTATCTTAAAATGACTATCGATAAACATTTTCATTGCTTGTGGAAAATCTTGGTATTCTCGTCCGACACAACTTCTCTGCACCGCTTCCTTGAACTCTTCAATAGTTACAATGTCATCCTGAATAAAGAATGCGAGTGAAATATTAGCAGAAACAATAGCTTATAAATCTTACTTTGTTGAAATCGGCGAGCTCCGCGATTTCTTCCCACAACGAAAGCATGATGTGTAAATTCTCTTGATATCGATTGTAACTAAACTCTCCTTTTCCCTCGATCAAAGTCATCTTAAGAGCCATGCATTCAAAATCGTGTTTTTCCAATATGCCATTGTTATCTGTGTCTAAATATCGTGAAATTACATATTGTTAGTCGAGTTAAAATATAAAAGCTACTAGTACGTGTAAGGCGGCCAATTAATCAATCGTGTTGTGCCAATTTATTTTTAAGGAAATTTTGCCATTGGTATAGTTGGATACACTCCAAGTATTTCACTTTTTGGCAAAGGTCGATATTTTTCATTAAACGTACAACCTTTCTTTTACTCGATTTAGTACGTATATTATCTTGACACGATAATGGTTAATTTTATCGATTTAGTAGATTGGATTCGATTATCGATTATCTTTACGTACATCGATATACGTGTTATTAACTTTTCTTATATATCGATATTTGATAATATCGATTTCTATTCTTTGAAGTATTGATTTCGCACATTCCTTTTTTGTCACTCATTTTGGAATCAACGACGATCAAATCGTTTTTTTTTTTTTGTAAAGTATAGTAGAGTATTTGATTATCGCATAGCAAATTTATTATTATTATAACATCATACTTTGTTAATGATGCATTTTTTCACACAATTAAGACATATATCAAGCAGAATATTGAAAAAAATTGGATAAATTGTTCTATAAAACGAATTAGAGCCAAGCTTAAATTTGGCATCAACCAAGTGCGAATATAATGACGACGGCATAGTAGGACTTTATAAAGTCAACCTATATCCTAAACAAGCAAGATAATGTTTGAAACATTTGGAACCTTTTTTCTTTTTTTTTTCATCTCTTGAAAAATAAGTATAAAATGCTTTTGATTTTTTTTTATATATACATATATAACTTGTTAGTACGCACAAGTTCATTCGGAAGAAGGATCAATGATCGATACATGTTTTCTTGGTAATGATTCGAAGGAAAGAAATCTCAAGGGGTTTTATAATAAATCACACATTAATTTTTATTGATAACTGCACAATGACAACACTCGTAACATGCTCTCAACTTAGAGTAGCAATAATTGACATTATTTGTGCAACAACCAAGATACGATCACGCACATTCTATCGAAAATAACCACCGCGTACTAACCGTAAAGAAATCTTACAATGAAATCTACTCGATTATCCCAGCTGTACGCCATTCTCCGAGAAGAAGTCTTTCAGTTAGTATCGATCCTGTTTCTTTCCTTTCACGGTCTTTTTCCTTTTCGCGTGTAATTATTTCTTTTTTTCTTTTTTCTGTGCCTTTACAAAGACGAATCAATTGGATATGAAAGTGAAGTTAAAAAAAAGCTTTCACTATGTTAATCGTTCGAAGGTAAAGAAAACACGAGAGGTGGAAACGGCAAAACGGTTATGAAGAAACTGATCCGAGAGGATGATGGTTTTGCAATGATTCCGAGTCGAGTTTTCTCGAGTCGTAGCTAAGTTTAGAATACTTCTTCCCTCCCCCCCTCCCCTTTCCCCTAAAGAAGGACATAGTAATACTGTTCATGAATACAAGGAAGGGGCTTGTGGATGGTGCCAGTGTCACCATGACACAGTCACCGAACTTGCATGAAAGTAAATATCGCTTTCGCCAGCTTTCATCGGTTAGTATCTCTTGCCTGTGATCATCTTGCTTCTTTCTTTCTTCAATTGGAACAATTTTTTGATCAATCCTTCGATATCCTTGAAAATCCTTTGGCCGATTGTAAAAAATTCGACTAAATTAAACGAAAAGGACATCGATGGAAGGAAAATATATTCTAGAAATATTAAATCAAAATAAAACGATCAAATAAATTTGGCATGGCATACGATGAAAATGAAAATGAATTTACAATATTATAATCCGTATTTTTTTTTTTTTTTTTTTTTAATTTTCCCTTCGTGCTAGCTCACGAATAAAATCACAAAAGATATACGGCTGAGGAATGGCAAAGTAAATCATTTTTTGAGGACGGTTAATTAAATCTGCTTGTCAACAACCTGTTATTTATGTGCCAACTTGCATAAAGCTTTGATGGTAACGCGAAGAGGTCTCTCTTTGTTTGTAAAAATGTGGGCACAGAGGAAAAGATTTTTTTTTTTTTCTTTCTCATTAATACAAAATAATCTATTTTGAAAATTAACGATGTGACCGTGCGTATAAAGTAAACGGATGAAAAGCAGAAGAAACAGAGGAGCGATTTAAATATATTTTTGAATCATGCCAATGCAACACTCGTCCGGAATCGATTAACCGCCAAATCTCAAAGTTCACGTACACGTAAGCTGCTAAAACGAAACGCTTTGATTGATTAGACGGAAAATTTATACGTAATAAATTGTTCGACTTTCGTCAAAAAGAATTTCTTCTTCTTATGCTCAAAAATCCATTTCATTTTATCGCTTTCTCCTACCGAAACGATCATCTCTATTCTTTTTGTACGATTATTTTGAAAATAAGAAATAGATACGTCGACGAACAATTCCATGACGGTATTTTATATCCGTATAATGGTAATTCTCTCGATCAGATCAGCCTGTGTGAAAATAAGCAAAGCGGAAGATGAACGGGCAAAGCGAATATACTCATCATCATATAAGGCCCGTTTCTAGAGTAAGGTGTCAGTTGGAAAGTGCGAGCTCTCGTACCAAGAACGAGAAACGAGGAACCGTCTTGATCCAAACCGATCGATATGAAGTTGCCTTCCCTCTTCCTCCTCGCCATCCTCTTTCCCGGTGAGTTTCACGAGTTTCGTTTCTAAACTCAAGCACAATAATCAGTCAGTTTAATTCCAAGCTCGTTTAAATTTCGAAAAGTTCTCTCCATCTCGATATCCCCTAAACGGAACAAACGAACCGAATCGAATCTTCAAGTAACGGTTTTTCTTCGGTAAAAAATATTTACTTTCTCGCGACCGGGACGAAAATAAACGTAAAAGTAATCGCGATTATTATTTCGCCCGAATTGTAAAAAAAAAAAAAGTCGTGAAAGTTTTATAGAGCGTAGAGTTGGCCAGTTCGTTGTTTCGTCGCAAATTTGGAACAATACGCAATACTTGTTGTTATATATCCGAACGTATTTAGCTCGGCCGAGAAAAATATCGAACGGAGATACGAGTTATTCCTGGCTTATATATACTTCGAGCTTTATATACTCGATTGAATTTCCGTATATTTCAGGCGACGCGTCACGGGGGAACGAGAAAACGGAAGGCACGCCGTGCATAGACGACAACAAATTCTATCGTAATCCGAACGCGGCCGCCCATAACGTTTGGTCGCCGACCGAGTGTGCCAAGTATTATCTCTGCCTGGGTAATTACTGTCCCGTTTACCGTTTCACCGCGCTCGACAACAACACGCGTATAACTTTTCGACCGACCTTGCTTTCGATCGCCAGATAACGAGGTGTTCGAGTTCAGATGCTCCCAGGGATTGTTGTTCGACGTTTCCAGGCAAGTGTGCGATTTCAAAGCGAATGTCAACAACTGCGACGTGATGTCAGGTACGGTTTTACTTAGAAAAAGGGAAGAAAAGAAAAGGAAAGAGAACGGATGACGGGAAGAAGAAAAACGTTACGTGTGTTGATTTGGATGTTTTTAAGCGTTTTACAGAGACGCGACCGCCGAGGCCGCTTCTCGAGCACGGTGACTGCGAGGAGAGACACTTGGCTTGCGGCGACGGTACCTGTTTCCCGGCTGCCTACTTTTGCGACGGGAGCGTCGACTGCCCCGACGGCTCCGACGAAGGTGGCTGGTGCAGTAAGAAAAAACGGATTCTTGTTATTCATTCACTTTCGCTTTTTTCGAGCTGTATTCTGTTATTTTTTTTTTTTTTTTCGATCGACAGATGCTCGAAACGATCCGGACGGCGCGTTACCTTGCGATCCAGGAGAGTGTCATTTGCCGGATTGCTGGTGTTCCAAGGACGGAAGGACGATTCCTGGGAACTTGACGGTGTCGACGGTGCCACAGATGATAGCAGTCACGTTCGACGACGCCGTGAACGGGGAAAACATCGAGCTTTTCTCCAGTAGGGAGAACCAACCACGTTATTAGGGCAAATTACTCGGTTATTTAAATATGAGAAGTGAAAGTTCGATCGTTCGTTCTCATTTCTTCTTTTTTTTTTTTTTTAGAAATTTTCTCAAACAGTAGGAAAAATCCAAACGGTTGCCCGGTTCGAGGAACTTTCTACGTCAGTCATCAGTACACGAATTACAGAGACGTTCAATACTTGTGGAACATTGGACACGAAATCGCCGCCCATTCCGTCACGTAAGAAATAAGAAATTGTTGTTTCGAATATCATTGACTGATATACACACGCGTTGATGATCATTTTTAATCTAGGCATCGGGGGCCGGAAGAATGGTGGTCGAGGAACGCTACCATCGAAGACTGGTTCGACGAGATGGTTGGTCTGGCGAATATTATTAACAAATATGCGGCGGTTCGTCTGGAGGATATTAAAGGTAATTCGCGATAACTCGTTTGCGGAAGAAAAGTCTCTGGACGATCGATGATGTGACAACAGGTTTAAGAGCGCCTTTTCTACGAATCGGATGGAATCGGCAATTTCTAATGATGTCCGAATTTGGATTTGTCTACGACTCGTCGATATTGGCCCCATTCTCCGATGTGCCAGTCTGGCCTTACACGCTGGACTATAAACCGCCGTACAACTGCGTGGATTTGGAACAATTTTGCCCAACTCGTGCGTATCCAGGTTTATGGGAACTTCCGATCAATCAACTTTTGGCAGGCGTGAGTTTGCATTTGATATTGTATACTGCGCGCGCCATTTCTGATCAAACAGATAAGATAAGATTAAATTAAATTAAATCCGTTTTAGGAATACACTTGTACGAGGATGGATTCGTGTCCTTCGAATTTAACGGGCGAGGACGTATACAAAATGTTGATGCTGAATTTTAAAAGGCATTATCTCAGTAATCGTGCGCCTCTGGGTTTGCATTTGCACGCATCCTGGTTTCGAAATCCATCATACTTTTACGCGTTTACCGTAAGTGACCAACCATTGTTCCCATTTCGTTTCCATTTCTAGGATCGCTGTGTTCATACTCGGTCGATTTTCAGAAATTCATGGACGACGTGTTGCGATCGAGGGACGTCTACTTCGTGACGAGTTATCAGGTGATCGAATGGATGCGCAGACCAACACCTTTGAACACGATAGAAACGTTTAAGCCTTGGCAGTGTAATTTGCGTAAATTCCATTCGTTCGAATTAGCCTGCGATTTGCCGAGCAGTTGTAAACTACCGAGCAAAGTTCTTAAATCGTATCGTTATCTGCATACGTGTTTCGAGTGCCCTAAGGAATATCCTTGGTTGAGAAATGAATTTGGAATGGAATGATGCACAAAATCCGCGTTGATATAACACGCAAAACAAAACCGTGTATTATTAAATTATTTATTTATTATATAAAAAAAAACGTGTGTATTTATATTTTTATACGAAAATCATGTTTATTTGTTATATATAAGTTTATATAGTTTATGTAAATAAATTATATTTAGTTTCGTTATAAAAAAATTGGCTCAACTATATCAACGTATAAATCAGATTATTCGCAAAATTTATTTTCTTATTAGAAATATCGATCAAAGGAAAAGGAAATTTTTTTTTAACCTTCTTGCTGTATAAAAGGATTTTGAATAGATTCCATTCCATCTACGGGACAAATAAGTACCACAGATGTACCTCTACATACGACTAAACCTAACATACGAGTATCTTGATTCAACTTGTATGGATCATCAGGATCTGAAGAAACAAATTAAAATGGATAAATTAGATTTGTAATCCGTGAATGAACGAGATGACGATATTTAATAATGAAATTACCTCTGAGGTATTCTGTAGTGTTATCAAGTACCAGGTTTAGAAGGGGATCGTACCCTTTTAAAATTCCTGCAGCTTCCCTTCCCCCAGCGAACTTTACTCTAATATTTTTCTCTAAATATTTCGAGAGATCAAGTATACTCTCTTTCTTCTTTCTTTCTTTCGGTTCTCCGTGAGCATTCTGCTGCTATAAGAATACATAAAGAAGATTGAACGGCTTGCAGGTTATGTTGTTAAAATAACGAATCTTTACCTGTTTCGCCGCCTGTAAAATGAAACATATCAATCAAGCATCTCGATTGATTTTTTTACAGATAAAGTTTTAGGGTCGAGAATAATATTATTTATACTTACAGACATTGTTTGGCTTTTTTACAAACTGAGAATGTTACGCTACCGTACCAGTATACAAGTACGACGCATTTTAAAACCGACGATTAATTTAGAGGTTAGAGGATATCTTGTTTGAATTTTTCGAATATCGATTCTCGATTCTTTCCCGCGCTTTTACGATCGTTTTAAATATAATTCAAACCATGAGGTATTCATGGTCGTTTCTTATAACTGAAGAAAGAGAATCTTCTAACTGTATATTTTAAGTGGATAAAGTAAAGGAAAAATTGTTAATAAATAATGTAAAAAAACGATACTTTGAACATCTTTATTACAATAACACGTTAATTGTCATTCAAATGGTAACAATGGGAATACGGTAACAGTTGCAACAATTTCGTAAAAGCTTGAATTTATTTCGTATCCGATTTATAAAAAAATACATGTTAATACATGGTGTGTGTGAGTGAATGAGTAATACAGTTAAAATGACTGTTTCTCATTTACGTCGTTAAGAATAAAGTTTGTGATTGTAACAAATATTTATTAAATCTTATGATTATGAATGGGATCCTGGGATGATACGGCAGATTTATCGTTTTCCCTTAATCGTTTGGCGCTTATTTCGATCTCACTCACTTCGTTACTTATGTAAGTTACTTACTTACTTAAATCTATCATTCGTAGTCTTTTTTTTTTTTTCATTTCGATTAAAATTATCAATATTCAGCAATCGTTGTGCTTCCCCTTTATAAGTTTTCTCTACCGTTCAATAAAATTGATATTATACATCGATTCGTGAAAATTCGACCATTTCCGTTTCATTCACACTCCAACTCATACTATTTTAACTTGTATATTGTCCTTAAATCCTTTCTGGCTGGCTGGCTGCTTTTGGATGGACACTGTGTATTATTGTATACGATTAAAACTTATCAACGCAACAATTAAATAAATATGTTTTCAATCAACTTATAACTTATCACTTTTCATCAATATAATCGTTTAGGCAAAAATTAAATTCGATGTATAAAATATATAATTCGACGAAAATTTCAACAAGCAAGGCTTAAAAACATAATTTACATAAAATCTATCGTCGTAATATCGTTTCACGTGTATTATTATTATTTTTCGTGTTTCTTTGAATGACTGTAAGTTAATTGTACGCACTATTTCACAGAGATTAAAGTTTACATTATTATCATTATTATTATTATTATTTATTAATCTATATCGAATATCGGTCGGTCTGAAAGATTCGCTAGAAAAAAGAAAAGATACGACGGCATCGACTGTCAGTGAAACGAAAAATTAGCTCACAGCAGTAAACGTTTCTCTTTTCTAGCAGGCATTATATTTGATTTATGGACGAAATTAATTGCCGTAAATTTTAAACATGATAACATTTCGTACAAAGTTATATAATAATAATGAGTTTACCAGCCATATTAAAAATATAGCACTTATTTGAAGTTAAGTTATTCGGAATAGGTTCTTTCCTTTCGTATATAAGCACAAAACACATTTAAACGTATCGTCATGTTTGCTGTCGGTCTTCTTCTTGTTCAGATAATAATGGAACGTTGTTCATCTGATCTACATTATTACTTTCCGTTTCATCTTGTTCCGAAAGCAAAGGAACTACTTGCCGATTATTATTATCTGTTTCTGAAGGTCGTCTAGTTTGCCCGGGCAAAAAAGACATTGGTATCGTGCCCGAAGGTGTGGTCGGTGCTGATCGCGATAGCCATCGTCTAGTCTTGTTCTTCGAACTTGGAAGTCCTAACGGCATGTACATTTTTCCTCGCGTCCGTCTAGTTTTATAAGACCCAATATCACCTGGACTTAGAGGCCGTTGCGTAGAGCCATTCGCATTCGATGTACATAAAACTTGAGGTCGATTTTGATAACAGGACAATACAGTACTATGTCCACCCGGCAATTGGGGTAATTGTTGAATTTTATCTAACAATTCACGTAACTACAAAATAACATATATATGCGTTACAAAAATATATATATATATATATTTCGAATATATGTACATTATATATATAAAATGTACGTATAATTGTTTAAACGAAACGAATACCTCTATTGTTGGACTAGTAGCCCGTGGTGGTGAACACGGAGATTGAGCAGCTAAACTCGATATGTCAGAGGTAGTCCTATGATTAGCCAACGATACAACGGATCCAACATCAATATTTTCCATCCTTGCACATTCTACTGCAGACAACTCGTCAACGCTATTATTACACGAATACGGTGGTGGAATTATGGTATTTGCCTCGTTCACCATGTTACACATAAAACTTGAACCTAACGAATCTAATGTGCTTGCATGTGAGAGTGATCTAAAATAACGCATTACAAATCCTGAAGTTCCTTTACCAGATCCTTCATCGTACCCAATGACTAATGGATATAGATTTGGTTTGGCTGTAACCTGTAAAAGAAATGAAATTATTATAAAATATACGATATCAAAAGTTTATAAATATTGTAACAATGTTATGAATATATACCTCATTATATGGAGGTGGTAATGCTTGAACAAAGGAACCGGAACGACTATAACGAGGTGGTGAATACCAGGATACTGAAGATCCTCTATCGGAGGAAGTAAAGTCTTCTACTATTTCTGGTGACCATGAACGATGACGAAATGAATGATGACGTTTCCATAACCAGCAGCCACATGCTGCTGCTATAGCCAATCCGACAAGCACTGCTGCCCTATTATAATTATTAAACATTGTTATATACAATTATAGAACAATTGATTAAAATAAAAAGTATAAAATATAATTACAAAAAATTAAATACTGACCATAAATACCAATAAGTCCAAATCAAGAAATTAAACATGTCTGATGCAGAGTGCAGTTGAAATACTGTGTAACAACAGCCAAAGGAACAGCACTCTTTTGGAGGAGAGCAGCTAAAAAGTAAATTTCAGTTTTCTTTAATCTATTCTATGATACAATATAAAAGTTTGAACGCAAAAGAGAAAGAGCAAAAACTTACACGTGTCCCCCATTGCATAGCCTAGAAGACACCTATAAATATTGATAAAGAAAAGAGATGAATGTTGTTATTAAATGAAAAAAAATATTACATTCAATTTAGATTTATGAAAAATCTATTGCATGCAAATTTTTTTCAATTATCTTGTGTAATATTTCCTATTGGATATAAATCATTTGAAAAAAAAAAAAATAACTAAATATTTAGAAAATTTATAATTGTCAAATAATATAGTGCCACGATACTTGCTATACCAAAATTCCATCGATACTCTCGTACCCTTCAGGGATCATCCGTCTATAAAAGATTGTTTCCGTCGCAAGAATGCGTACGGTGCAATAACAATTAGTCGAACACTGTATTGGTTCGATGGAAAAAAACATGGCATTTCGAGTTGTCATAGAAAAAATGGATATGGAAAAGACTTACGCATGAATGAGAAACACAACGAACAAGAGTTCATTGTCTAGACACGGACGAACCGTGCGTAAAACCGACGTATTGATCGACTTCGGGTCGAGCAGAATAGAACAAGGAGACACTGGTACACGAGATATGCGCTAACATTCTACGGGGCTATAGCATGCTGCAGTGGTATACGAGAGCTGCATCATTAGAACGTTTCTTCGTCGTCGCTCTTACTTGATCGACGAATAATGTCAGGAGTACAGACATCACGAGCACATCGAACGCACGAGCTACAGCTTGCACCATAATCATAATTCTACCATGAAATGCATGCCACCGCGCCACCTTATATAGTTCGATTTTCTTTATTACATATCTACCAATAGCTTCCTTCTTTCCTGTTCTAATTTAAATTTTCGTGTCTTGCGCTTTGCGATCGTTTATTATTTCGATGTATGTACGTGATCTTTTGTTTAATGAAATCTATTATTTTTTTTATTACGAAATGTGCAGACTATGAAAATTCATTTCTAATGGTACAATACGATGTTGGCAAACACGTACCACCAATCGGTAACCCATGATTTCGATGTTTGTATAAGTTTTTTGACAATTAAGAATTTCATAATTTTAAGTTTACATTTACAAATATTCGGAAAATGAAAAGAGTTTATTTAATTTTAAATTTTCTATAAAATTTTGCACAGAAAATAGATTGTTAAAATTTATGACAATATAGATATATAAAGAAAAAAATTAGTTTTTCGTTGATGGAAAAAAGAAATTCGATAATTTGGCGGTACATTTTTAAAATATCGATATATAAGAATTATACAACTCGGCC